AGTTGTTAGACCACCATTCAAAACCTGGAAGCACAGGATGCTAATGATTCCCATACCAGGACGAAACGGCCGTCCAGTGCACCCAGGTTTCCTAATGGTGGTGGTCTAACAATGATTGACTGACGATTTCAATATGTAAAAACAATAATCACCATAACTCTAGTTGAAAAAAATCATAAATAATCCTCGTACACAATTGCATCAAAGATCAAAACTAAACTATTGAATTCTAACCAGATGGTTTCAAAATAGTACACCCATGGAACAAATTCTCTGATACCCAGACTGCTATGGAGTTTCACAACACAACAGTCTAATTACAATTCCTTCTGATATGCTTCAATGCTATTAAGAGTTCATCGTACATGGTAAACGGAGCGACCACAAATGATGCAACGACACGGATAGGCTAGTAGTCTAATCCGTTGTCCGCGACCCGATTAACTAACTATATCAAAAAGTCTTGATAAGACGTACAAAGTGCATTCTACAAGCACTCAGAAAATACGAGGTCGACAAGTACACAAATCAAGCTTATTTATACATCATAGAAACGCCCTTGGGAGAGCCGCCGCATAGATAGAATTCTAAAATAATACATCAACCAATGACAGTCAAGGGTTTTCTCAAGGGGAAATGTGAACTGAAGGTCACGTGGCGCGAAAAACATGGAAATTCAAATTTTCAGAATAAAATTACAAAATTAGGACCCTTTTCAAGTAAGTCCTGTGGATTTAACGTCGTCAAAAACATGTCAGTCTCATAACTTGTAACAAGAACTTCTCATATATATTTTTCAATAGTATATTCCTAACATATTAAAGTTTCAAACTATCAGTGAAACTATAAAACGGTTTAATTTTTTTTATTAAGATACGTTCAAAATTTTCCTAATTATTTCGTTACATTCAATAATACATAATTTATTTGATTATAGAGGTATTTTAAAGTAAGTTATGCAATTTTCTAATAAGATCAGTTAACAAACTAACTGACTGATCAACTGATTCCTTTGCAATTAGATATGAATATGTCTTTTAATTGGCAATCTGTTTGAATGGATGTATACAACATGTTGCCAAGCAACCACCATAAATTCAGATATATAACAGTAACGATGACGATGTCCGAAAAATAGTTTCACAAAACTCTTGTTTACAAAATTACAAATTTCGGTTAAAATACAATTCAACCATATAGGCCAAGTTTTCGGAAAATGAAGTTGAGTATGAGAGGACAGACAGTCAGCTGAGAGGATACCATTCTGTATTAATAGTCAATAAAAGTGCAATATTCAGTGTATTTTTGAGCATTTTTCTCGTTCATTTGATGAGTTATCGTTGAATATAATAAAGGTGTAGTTTTCACTGGGTGCTGCATAATGAAAAGCTATTCACATGCAAGTTATGTGAACACATTAATGTAGCGCATACTAACTTGTCACTTTAAAATTGAAATTCAATCGTCATTGAAAATTGTGCTTTTACATATTAGCACTCACCAAGTAAATCAGCGGAAAAATACTAAATACTGTACAAATATTGAATATTGAAAAATAAGATGTGTTAAAATTCATCGGCAGTTGAACTAGTGATAGGGAGTGAAGTAGTTGACCGCATCACTTATCTTGGCAGTCTCAATAGTGCTGATGGTCTGTCGACTGACGAGCTCTCTGCACGGATACAGAAGGCTCGATCGGCTTCGGCCAACTTGCGTAACTTATGGCGTAGGCGAGAGATCCGTTTGTTGACTAAAGGACGAGTGTACTTCGCAGCAGTTCGCTCCGTCCTACTTTACGGCTGCTAAACATGACCAGTCAAGGAAGAATATATTCGTAGGTTACTGGTTTTTGATTATAGGTGTCTCCGAAGCACTGTTCGTGTATCATGAGACAACCGAGTAAACAATGGTGTCGTTAGGAAACGGGTGCTAGGTAGGGTTGGCAGCTCGAAAGATGAACTATTGAAACTTCATTAGTTGAGGTGGTTGGGACATGTGTTAATCATACCCAACCACCGATTGCCTCAGTGAGCGGTGTTTTGTGACTCAGGAGTAGGTTGGAGGAAATCTGGAGGTGGATAACCAAAACATGGCACGAAACCCCAAAGTCAGTGACAATTAAAATGAGCCATGTTGGTAGGTGTCGACTACCTAGTTGGGGTCCGTAAGATGAAAGTGATCGATAGATAGAGAACCTGAATGACATGTTTTAAAACCGTTTGCAATGGCGCAGGTGCAGTCATTTTTTGTGTCCTCTCAAATCTTAACCTTCTGGATTCTTCACCTCCTAAATCTTTTTTTAAGTTTATTTCACTAGATTCTACTTCTTGAATAATATCGTTGAACCCTAATCTCTGCGATTATTGCTAATACTTTCACTACCTCAACTACTATGAGATTTGAATTGACAATTGCATCTCTGTGCTAATGTGGCGTGGCAACTACTTGAACTGATGTACTTACATACGAAATTCTATGTTGTTGTTGTTGACTGAATGACTTCCACCACAATTACCAGGCTAACTCCACAACCTTAACGACTGAGCTCTACGACACACAGTCCAATGCAACAACCAATTTCATGTTCTAATACGAATCACCATTTCATTAAAATCACGAAAAGGTATTCAAGATGCTTTAACAATTGATTCAATAGTTTATGGGCTAGGAAGACCCCCGTGTCGAACTTTACCGACATTAGGCAATCTCCGTGATATTAACACATATAATTCGAAATTGAAAGAAAAGAAAGAAAAAAGAGTCACCAATTCATACTTACTTTTCCAAATTGTTTATCATGTCCAGCTGATTGACCTGTAGCCACTGTAATACGATCAGGATGGATAGCAATGCTAGATTTAACATTTTTTTTAAAAAAATTAAAAATTATATTTTCAATCAGAGCTTTGGAAATTTGTGTTTTTACACATTTGAAATCATCAATCAATCATTGTTAGACCACCATTAGAAACCTGGAGGCACTGAAAGACGGCCGTTTCGTCCTGGTATGGGACTCATCAGTAGCAGTGCGCATCCACAACTCCTGCACCCCGCAGGATTCGAACCCAGGACCTTCGGTGTTGTGCGCGAATGCCTAACTATCGGACCACTAGGCCGGCATCCAATAGTGTTAATGTCTAACTCTGATTGATCTACGGATTTTGCGCGACTTCTACCATTAAGTAACTAACAAAGACAAATGGGTGAGGTCACGCAAAATCACTACATCAATCAGAGTTAGGACATTAACACTGCTGGATGCCGGCCTAGTGGTCCGATAGTTAGGCGTTCGCACACAACACCGAGGGTCCCGGGTTCGAATCCTACGAGGAGCAGGAGTCGTGGATGAGCACTGCCACTGATGAGTCCCATACCAGGACGAAACAACCGTCTTTCAGTGCTTCCAGGTTTCTATAATGTTGGTCTAACAATGATGGATTGATGATTTCAAATTTGTAAAAATTATATGCCTGTTACCTTTTTAACAATAAGTAAAAGAAAATCTAGGGAAACGGAGTGATTGTTTAGTTTATAGATTTTTCAACTTTTTCCCTGTCTTTTAAACAAACTGTATATACATAGTATATATTGGGAAAAAAAATGTGAACAATTTGGCAACACGCCAAATTGCAAAAACATCAATAAAGCAGAAACGAATGCGAAAAACTAGTTTCCGAATAATAAAAAAAAAGAATTGTTGAGAAAAGACGAAAAACTATTATTTTTTTCCCACAACTAGAATTCATCGATCGATACAACGTCAATCAGCAGAGATAATAATGGTCATGTGAACGTGTTCCTGTGTGCAATAACACAGTACGAGTTCTATTTATGTAATGCGAATTATGGTTAACGATCAATAATGCAGAGCGAACCAGTTTAAGTTGGACAATCAGTGAAAAGTTGGAAGCAGGTTTTCAATGGTTGTCTACACAGTCCTCTATACAGACTAATATAGTGTCTTCACTAGTGTTATGCTCGTCGATTGATATGTTTGAATGCTATTACGAGTTCACCTTAGTCGGTAGGTAAACGAGAGCCAAGACAAATGATGCAGTGATACGATAGGCTACTTTAATTCGAGTGTCTCAAGGCCCCCACTAAGTAGAGAAAGAAGTCTTGATAAGACGTAGAAAATGTATTTTACAAGCACCCAGTGTCGGAGATGTTAGATCCCCAAAATTCGCTTGATAAATGCCTTATTTTGGTTTTCACGTTTGCCAGCATGGGCTGAATAGTTGACCTTGAGATTGCGATTCCCACCAGGAAAATCCATGGCTGTGATTTGCTGCTGTGTATTTTAGTGTGGTATGTTCCTAACTGTCTCAAGGACGTTCCTATGTAGTATAAATAAACGAGAGTTGTATGCTTGATTGTACTGTGATTGCTGGGTGTTTGTAGAATATACTTTCTACGCTTACAAAGCCTTTTTTCTCGCTTTGGGGATTCGAGGTAGCCTACCTGGACGCTGGTAAGTCTCGCTCGCGTTTATTGACTAAGTGACGAGCGTAACACCCAGAAAATAGGATTCAATTAACGTATAGGTGAATTTCTTAAATAAGACCTTGTACTGTCACACACAGTCTTCTCAGGGCTATAGTCAAAACAAATAACTATGTATGTAGCTGACAACCATGTTTGTAAAATGTAAATTAATATAATTAGTACAAACCCAGAAAAGATTAATCAGTTACAAAGAGACCAACAAACGACCACATACCGAACAGTAGCACGGACACATACAAAAAGGTTATGTTTATATAATTGGTGCCATTTTAATGATTGGTAGTTAAATAAAAACGATCAGAATAATAAGCAATCTGATACTAAACGAGTGCACTAAGTCGTGAGCGTTTAACTTAATTATCATTCGTTGGTTGATCCACTCTTGTCGATTGAGATCAACAGATAGGACATGCAAAAGACAATGGAACATGGTCGTATACCAACCAGCCTATCGTGTGTCATCGGATCATTTTTCTTAGCTCACCTTTACCGCGTAAGCTGAACTCGTAATAGTCTCGAGCATATCAATCGACAAGCACAACATTTAGACATACACACCAAATCAATAGTGATATCAAAAAAAAAAACAGACTGATAAAAATTCCTTTTCAGTATACAGTACTGTCTGAAAGTTCATCTATCTACTTCATACACATTACTTTCAATTGTATTTATAAAAGAATTTTTAGAAAAAAGTTCTTCCTTTATAAGTAAAAATAATTATAAATCACATGCACAAGTAATTATTTTGTTTTTTTTTTAAAAAAAAGAGTTTAAATAAGTTTCAACGCCGTTATTTTTAAAAAAAACTGTACTAATAATAATATGGTAGATAATTTTTTCAAATTCATTGAACATTTTTTTTTCTCTAGTGAAATAGACAAATAACCTAATCTTTTCGAAAAATCAAACAATATACCGGTAAAAATTTAAACTATCATCTGTAAAATTGATCAATTGAACAATTGAATACAAACAAACATTGATTATTGAACAAGTTCATGGAAAAATCTCTTTACATGTATATATATATATATATATATATATATATATATATGCCTAATGTATACCGGTTAGTTGACAGATTACAACAATATGTACTTTCGTCTCGGATAAGTATTTGAATTACACCCTTATTGTAGAGAATAAACAATAATAATAAGTAATACCTATCTATGTATAATTCAATGAAAAATGTATAAATTTTTAAAGAGAAATTTATATATATATATATATATATATATATATATATATATCTAAAACAAACAACAGTATATTTACACATAGATTATTTATATAAATAACAAGATATAATATATTAGAAAAAACAGTAGAAATCAACTCATACTACTCAAATGAGAGATCATAAATGTAACAAACACAAACAGACACACACACACACAAGGTCAATAATACATGCACAATCAACAATCAAACTGTTTCGCTTCTATTGTAGTAGTAGTAGTAGTAGTAGTAGTAGTAGTATTAGTATTACAGTTGAGTGTATAGTTTCATAACCGCCCTTATTTTGATAAGAAAATATTTTAGTAAAATGTAACATTGTCCTTCAAATATCATACACTGCACACCCTATAATAGATATATTGGTTCCAAGTGAAAAAAAATAGTTTAAAAGGAAATATGTCAGTGAATAAGTAAACAGAGAGAAAAGAATATCAGTAATAATTTATTGAGAAAGATGTAAACAGTAGTATGTTGACTTTGGCTTGTTTACTTTTAGTCTTTTTCACATGATTTGTGTATTGTTTCGTGTAAAATTCAGTATTTATTTATCGATCAATGTTTTTATTGAAAACAAAAGAATGTTTAACCTCTGGATCACTGAGCCGGTATCTAATGGTGTTAATGTTTAATTTCGATCAATTCACAGTCTTGCGTAACCTCATACACAGTCTTCAGTGGTTACTGTCTAAACCTGAACAAATTGGACTTCACTGTTTAAGACTTCTCACTAGAACTCGGAAAAGATTCCTTACAGAGCTAGTCACTAGTGAGCACATGTTATTGCATTACGAGGTTGTAAAGATTGTTAAGTTACACATTTTGAAACCATGAATCGTTCAATGTTAGACCACCATTAGAAACCTGGAAGCACTGGACGACCGTTTCGTTCAACCTGTTCGCGTGTAGACAGTAACTACCGAAGACAGTGTATGAGGTTGCACAAGACCGTGAATTGATCGAAGTTAGATATTAACACCATTAGATACCGGCTCAGTGGTCCAGAGGTTAGGCATTCGTGCGTAAGACCGAAGGTACTGGGTTCGAATCCTGCAAGGTGCATGAGTCGTGGATGCGCACTGCTAATGAGTTACATGCCAGGACGAAACGGCCGTCTTTCAGTGCTTACAGGTTTCTATAATGTTGGTCTAACATTGATCGATTCATGATTTCAAATGTGTAACTTAACAATCTTCACAACCCGGTATTGCAAAAGGATGTTTATATTGACCGATTATTGAGTAGTGACTAACAGGATGTTTGTCTAGTCCTCAGTGCTGATTAAATTCTATAGATCAAATTGTAATGCAGTTGTCCGGTTTTTTTTTTGTGCACTATGTTTGTAGAAGGCGCCGTTTATTCACAAAATATGTAAATATAATTTGCAAACATCTATTTGCAATCTAGCAGGGTATTTACTGTCTAATCTCACATCTCTTCTGGTTTTTCAATATATTCTGGTCACATCATGGATTCCGATCGCTTGACTCTCTTCTGGCTGGTAGCAACTTCTAGGCAACGCTCCACTGCACACTACTTATATGCCATTTTGAAAGGAACATCCACCGCAATAGGTCTCATCATCGAGATATACTTGTAATATTAAGGGGGCTAAGGTTTCCTAGTAGATTCGGCTATAGTTTCTTGCTAAATACTTGCAACCATTTAACGTCAAAAGAACGTTTGTTTATTCACTTCAGATGTTTTATTCTTTCGGCTGGATGGTTTCAATTGAATCTCGCTTGTAATCATTCCACACGAACGTTATTAGCATTTATTTGTTATTGAAATACACTATTTCAGAATCGTAGAACTAACTAACCTGTTCAAATGACCTTTTACTCAAATGTCGTATGTAGTCTTCATGTACTAAGTACTTTTCAACCTCTATGGATCATTTTTTGTCCTAGTGACCATGTGATAAACCGACCTTGTCCTCAAAAAAAATTGGGACTATCCCAATAGGTTTATTGATTAATGGAAAGACCTAAATAACACCTTGTTATGGAATAATCCTTTAATCTAGAATTTAGACAGTTTGGCAATCAAAGTTGTTTAGTATTATTTAACTGCTAATCTATTTTAGTAACCGAATAAAAAGAGA